TGTAATTTTATATGTATTATCACGATTAATCAACTTTAATTCTTTTAAAAAACAGGTTTGAAGTACTAATAACTATTAAGTACTATTATACTGTCACCGTTATCAGTGGAAACCGTGTGGTTAACATGTTACCTATACCTACCCACTATAATATACCTACCAAAGTACCAAATATAGTTGAAAATAATCAACTACTTCATCGTGGACAGTGTGGTTAGGTGGTTATTAAATGTGGTTTTTAATGACTAGTGAAATCGTTTTACCTTAACAATATTATTCAATTCGGTGAACAGTATGAAAACTCTTAACCCAGACCACACACGCAGCTACGGTACACGGTGATAGTGGAATACCTGCAATAGCGCATCTCCTGAAAATTGTCAAAAAAGTATATTTTATCCAATTTTCAATTAATTTTTTAACAATTGTTTAGGATTTAAAAACTTCATTAAATTTTACATTTATCAAACTTGTATAGGTACTAGCTAAAAATAAACATTAAAAAAAACTGATCTAAAGGGATGTTCAATTCGGTCAATTCAGTTTCCTCGTACCTATCATTTTTATTTTATAATCATTTATTATTTTTATTTTTATTTTTATTAAAATAATATTTTTATATAGATCAAAATTTAAAAGCAGTGATTTAGTATTCCCTAATTATCTATAATTTTTAGTATACAAATATTTTAAATATATTATATTTATAAAAGTTAAAATATTAAATCGTTATTTTAATATGTATATAACAATAAGCGGCAAATAATTAATATAGATTTTCGTAGTAGTATGTATTAATGGTATAGTCGTGCATGTAGACTGTAGTAAGTGTAATAACTATACCCACACGACTAATATATAAGAATCTAATAATTATTAATTAATAACAGTTAACCGATAGGCTATTTATTAATTTATTCATTATTGTTATTTGATTTCCATTTGATTTGCAGGTAAATTTTAAATAGGTTTTATATTATATATACAAGTATTACCTAGGTATTTATATATACAAGTATTACCTAGGTATATATAATATATAATACAATATACCTAGCAAGGTAATCTAATTTGTGTGTACATACTTATCTTAATTATATTTATATATAAAATAGAATCCGCACTACAATGCAATAAAAGTATTAGCTAGAAGAAATAATGAAGCACCATACGTAAGTATAGTAGTATACCTAATATAGTAAAATTGTTCTGTAGGTAATATATAATAAGATTGATTGTTAAAACGAATAAACGACATCAACAACATTTTGTTAAACAGTCTATAATTCATATTAGTTGTGCACAACTTTTCATAGTAAATATCATATTATATTGTTAACAACTGATGTTTTTAAAATATGACCGTGGAATGATCGTTTATATAACTGGAAAAAAAGAAAAATGTACTAGTCATCTCCTACATAATAGTTTTTGTGTTATACCTATTTATTTCTTTATACATATTTGATATAAACAACTACTACACCAGTACACCTATTACAGTCTTTTCGTCAGTTCACTTTGCTCTCTTCTTGCATATTTCTTTCACGCAGACATGGTTTGATTTACACCATGCTATATTATATTTTTATCGTCTTGGTAGGGGGAGTGAAGTCACGCGTATTGAACGAAAGAAAGTCTGTTTGCAGTTTATCTTCAGATATTCTCTATAAGCGTGTTAGCTTTGGGTCACGATATTCGGCCTTGTTACAAATATTATGAAATGGCAACGATAAATAATGTTGTTATTTTTAAGGTCATGAAGAGTTATCAGCGAGCAAGAAGTAAATGTATAGCTGCAGCCACATAATAATACATCACGGTGTATTCGACCTTTACAATCTCAAGTCAAAGTTTAGAAATTAGAACAATTTAAAATTACCTAGAATAATTAGTAGACCCATAGCTCGTAGTAAAACGCAACCAGTCATCTATAATTTTACTTCACTGGTATTTTTTTTTTATTGCTAGTTTGGATTATTTGTGTTTTAGATTCTAGGGGGAGCGATGGTTTTATGTACAATAATGACTTGTTTTATTTGGTCTGAACACACTTTTTATAGCAAAAATAATGCTTCAATTTGTTATAATAGGATGGCTTGTACTAGCAAAATAGATCTAGTTTGTACCTACTTTAGAGGTCAAAAGTAAAAAATGATCAGTAGTTTCTCAAAACAATCGGGAAAACAAAAATTAATTACGGAAAACGAGAATATTAACGCAAGACTAGACTATAATTCCAACAAAATGTGATGTTTTTTTGTAATTCAACAAGAAATAACCAACTAGAAACTCGACATTTTTATCAAATATTTTTACTAGTATACTATACACAAGACAGAATTTTCAACTAATTTTGGCTTTGTCTTACAGATATTTTAAATTTCTATAACCTTTTTTTAGTTAGTTTTTTTGATTGATGTCCATATTAAGCTGTATAATATATACTATTACATATTTTCTAATTATGGTTATAAATCGTCCTTTATGTATAGAGTATTATAAAAAATTAATGTTACAGAAAGGAGAAAGTAGGTTGTACGAAAATTAGAGTTATGATTAATTAATGATTAACAATCCTCTGTTTTAAAGTACATTTTAGAATTTGACATAATCAGAAAAATACATTAACAATTGTTGTTATTTAAATGTTATATAAAGCAAGGAACCTAGTCATTCGCGATGACTAATCTACCATGGTCTGTGATAAAGTAATACAAATTTGAGGTGTTATTATTGTTTTTGTTTTGTATAGACATATTATATTAATACATGCACATATTTTACCTTAAACATTTATATTTCACAACAATAGTACTTATGCTGTTATAATGAATTCAATTATTTATGAATAGACATTTATAAAAGGAAATCTGTATGTTGTTACTAAAAATATTACAACTCTTTTGTTTTATCACCACGCACTTGCCTATACACTCAAGCTCAGATGAAAACAATCGTTATCTCAGTACCCAAGAGGATGTAAGCGTAAAATATACCTTTGTCAAAAACACCTAAACCATAATAAAAAACGCTCTTCAAATTTATAATTTTGTAGCTAAGCTGTTCAAATGGAATTAGGATAAACATAGCATCTATATTAGAAAATGTTCTTTATATAAGCGAAAAGCCGGTATTAATCATCTATAGGTGCTTCAACATTGTAGGCTTTTCTTAAATACAATACATTTTATAAATATTACATATTATAATTTATTGTTTAAGATTATTTAAATGTTATCAGCGCATAAATTGTTTAAATAGTTAAAAATAAATAAATAGGTAGTAAAATGCCTATAGGTACTTAATGTTTCTTAAATAATAATTATTAGGATTAACATTTCCTTAGGTAATGTTTACCTAATTTACATAGTTTAGTACCAACTACCAATACGGCAATGCGATAAATTAGAAGTGCGGTTTTGCTATGTATAACTAACAATACATTGAAAGATACGTAATGAATACAGTATAATACAATTTAAGCTGGCAATTGGCATCCATAAAAAATAGTCAATGGTGAAACCACTTTACCGCTATATATATTCTATATGTGTTATAGTTTAATTTAAACTACGTCCTGATTCAACCTGCCTTTCTATTTTTAATTATTTTAATTCAAGTAATTTAATTTATCTCCTCGATCACCGACATCAACTTTGTCATATAATATAATACTTCTGATTCCTTCTTTTTTCTTTTTGTATCCTCATTATATACGCTATAATGTTATATGTAAAACAAAATATAAATAATTGCCAGTAAGTAACCAAAATATCATTAAAAATAATTATATCGATATTCGACAGGTACATACCAATGAATTTCAATAACTGTAAACAAAGTCCTTCTCCGTCTTTGTCTTCGCTCGTATTCCGTAAATTCTGTATAGACTACATTATATTTTTCTACTAACTTCTGTCTTAACTTTTAATCTTAAGATTATTATTTTAATATGTGTAAATATATAATTTAACAACACAATTAAATAGGCTCCTATTATACTAAATATATCGTGTGTAGGCAGCTGAGTGGCTCTATCTGAATTATCAATCTTAGACTTTTATATAAGTGCCTATAACATAAAAACATAAAATAGTTTTCTTTATTTTGAATACTTATGTTGAGTAGGTAGTTAAACAGAAGTTGAAGACATGGAATGGGGCTCTTGCAGGTATCGTATTGAGATATTTCGACGGGTAGGTTTAGATGCGATTAATATTTGAAGACTTGACTTTGAGCCCCAAAGTTGGATACCGTTAGTCCATATTTTTAGCATATACTATACAAAAATGTCCATATTTGTTTTTGCTTAATAATAATAATTGATGACCTGCATGTACTTTCGTGGACTGATTCATTCCGAGCTATATGGTATTGTAAAATATACCTAAATTGTAATTTAATATTTATTAGTTGTTTATTTCATTTCCATACCGTGGTCTGAAACTTTTATGCCAAGTCACATGAACAATTGATTCGTTTAATGATTTACTAAAATTGAATAAACAAATCATTGACAATTAAATCGTGTTTAAGGGATCATATAATACAACCATTATAAATGTTGAGCGGTTGTATATATATTATATTATGTAACCCAGCACTCTTACAAGTGTCGTAAGCCGAGATTAATCTAAAAACGTTATAAAACTTACTTCCTCCCAAGATTAACTCAAAATCTAATACATGTTTAGATTCGTCTAAAACATATGCTAGCTGAATGTAAAAAAATCAGTTATTATACATATTGTTGTTATTATTGCGTCTTGCGCAGTACCTATAATAAATATTATATACCTATATATAACCTGACGTATTGATAGATAGGTACCTAGATCTATACATAGATACTGCGATAAATGATAACGTATAAAATATTATATCTATATATTATGTTTACAACGACCTAATACAAATCATATACACTGTTTATCGATAATTTGTATTTTACCTTTTAACATGGTCGTTTCTTTAATTGTTTTGTTCTCGGTTACAAGCAGCCAGAAGAGAATAGAGCGTTACGGCTGAAAAACGACCGATACGGTTTAATGTCTGTCGACGATCCGTCGATCTACAGGCACGTAGATAGCTCGCCAAGTTCTCTGACCGATGGCCAGGCAGAACTCTTTACGCCTTTTTCGACATTAAGCAGTTACCTGGACGAGGTTGCGTACGTGGCCGCTGGTGGTCTCAGACACGGAGACGATGCGTATTCACGTAACAAATTCAATCAATTGGCGAGCGATAGCCTGCGAAGCAACCGGCCAGTGCCTGACACTAGAAACGCAAAGTGAGATCGACTATATTATTATACATACCAATCTTCCAGTAACCTATAATATTGCTGTTTAAACAATTTTAAATGTGTAACACGAAAAAAATCTGATAATTTTACAATTTAAATGTGCAGTCACGTCTCTCTATATATATATACTAAAAAAGCATGCCCGCACTCCCTGTTCTTTTTCAATAATATATTAATTCAAAATTTAATTTTTGGAATCTTTAAATGTATTTAGAGACAATATTTTTAAATTCTTGAGATTTTTTATTCTACTCAAGGAGTGTCTGTGGTGTTGCAAATTTATATTCTTTGAATGAGAAACCCCCTTGGTTTACTGTAAATTTTATTATTTAGAGGATAATTTTTATTAAAAAAGTTGGAATTGATGTACCTAATTCAAATTTCTTACGAGTAGTTTTTCAGTGATTAAAATTCTTATACTAAAGATAATTACAGTATATAATGTTACAAATAATTACATAAAAATAATATAAAGTAGATAAAAATTATTAAGTTGTAAACTTATATTGATTCTAGTATTTATCATGCTTGGATCATTTTTAAAAATTATTTCTATTGGTTAGACGAATATTAATCACTAACATTTTCAAATCACAATATCCTCATATCTTCCAAACCCATTTTCATAGATCTATATTATCCTCAGTACGCAAAATTAAATAACTGAAAAACTACCCTTGATACATCAACGTTTTCAAAAAAAAATGATCAGCTAAATAATTTATAGAAAAAAACGGAGGTTCTCATTTAAAAAACAAAAGTTTGTAACTCCATAAATGTATATAGGACACTCTTTAAATAGTGAAACAAATCCGATGAATTTTAAAGTACTATGGTATTTAAGCATATTTAAAAATTACAAAAATCAGATTTTGAATAATTGCATTATTGAAGAAAAAAAGGGGTGTTACAGTATAAGTATCTAATTCCGTATTGTGCTTACCTACTAAATTATATGCAATAGGAAGAAACGTTAAATAGACGATAGTGCGTCAGTAAGAAATTAACATTGAAATATTTGAAATATTCAAATTAATCTGTATCACGACAATTTTTCATTTTTAATATTCAGACAGGCACTATAATTATATAAAAATTATTTCCTTTCATAAACGAATTGTGACAGCATATTGTTACGAAGACGAGAAATTGTATGCGGTCAGTAATTTCGAGATTTATTGTCTTATAAATATGTTCAATTGTAGAGGATTAAAATATTATATTTTTTACTATTATTGGGTCAGCCAAATTTCTCAGAGTAAAAATAATTCCTTATTTATGTTAAATTCAAGTTTATATCATAATAATTACTTATTTCGTTGTTTTTTTTATCAAGATGTTTAACAAAGAAATATCGCATTGATCTACCTCAGACAAGTGTCATCATCACCTTTCATAACGAAGCCAGGTCTACTCTTTTGAGAACAGTTGTCAGGTATTATTTGAAATCATGTTTTTTTCCATAACAATATATTAGTTGTACATCTTGTACCTTCAGTTCATTTTAATTCACTGAATAATTATTTTATTATTATCTTAAATTTTAGCGTTTTAAATAGAAGTCCCGAACATTTAATAAAAGAAATAATTCTAGTGGACGATTTCAGCGATGACAGTAAGTATTTTATGACAACCATTAAATCTCGTTTTATATTATAAATATATTATACAACAATAAAATTATCATTATAGCCAAAAATCGATCTCATATTAATTGATTAACTATATACTAATAGATTTTTATTTTTACTTAAAGGTACTGATGGACAAGAATTATCAAAAATACAAAAAGTGAAGCTTATCAGAAATGAACAAAGAGAAGGTAAACATATATCCGACTTAAAGTTATAAAAATTGATTTAAATTCGATTAATTAAATTTGATAAGTTTCATCTTTCTAAAAGCCTAATGTTTAACATTTTCATATAATATTTTCTAACCCAACTGTTTTATTTATTTATATATATATTTATTTAAAGGCCCACGAGGGCTCAAGTACAGTATAATTATACTACAATGTTAAGCTTAACAGAAAACAAAATAAACATATTATAACTAATAACAGAGATTTATAGTAAATAATTAGTAAACTTGAGCAAATAAAATACGAAAAACAAATGTTTTATTTCCATAAATATATATTGTAAGTGTTGTAGATGTAATTATTAATTGATAATTGTATACTATATTTATTCTATAAAGCATGGCTTATACTATTTGAAGTTTATAAATGTATACATATATGGACACAAAATGAAATTATAAGAGCTTAAGTACTAACTATTTTTTATTAATATTTTAAAACAAAATTATATGTTTACCACAGGGTTAATGAGATCTAGAGTTCGCGGCTCAGAAATTGCGACGGCACCAGTGCTTACATTTTTGGACAGTCATGTAGAGTGTAACGTGAATTGGCTTGAACCACTTTTAGACCGTGTAGCGGAAGTATGTGATTTTGTTGTAATCATTGTTGCGTCTAACACGCGTGTCTTACCAAAATATAATATTATGCAATGTCGGGAATAAGACTTAATAGGTAATTTTATTTTAATAGGACCCGACTAGGGTGGTGTGCCCAATTATCGACGTCATAAATATGGATAACTTCCAATATATAGGAGCTTCGTCAGAACTAAGAGGTGGATTTGATTGGAATTTAGTGTTTAAATGGGAGTATTTGTCAAAAGAAGTCAGAGCTCAACGTCAAAAAGATCCAACTTTACCAATCAGGTAAATTAATTATTTACAAATTTTAAATGGTCTATAAGACTACGCCTAATATAAGACTCTCTATAACTGCATAAATTTATCGGTTACCATATTTACCACTTATATACTATTTGAGATTATGAGATGTGAGAATACAATGTTGTAACAATAATAATAACTGTGTAGGTACAATTTACATTCGTCACCCTTTAACTCAAGTGGTACCCAACTATAATATATAGTATTATATTATTATGTATAGGTACGCCCGCCTTTATTTTATTTGTGGGTCGTGTACAGATTTAATTTACATACCTACCTATTCAAGAATAATACCAATGAAAAGTTTAAACAAATTATAAATTAAATACCTAACAAATAACAATTGCAGTGTTTACATAGGTACAAATATTTACCCTGATTGTGTTTAGTTTGTAATAATATGTACCTAAATGGCTACATTTAAAACTAATATTATAATATGTTAAAAGACAGTCCCATATGCATAGGTATTATAAATAATACAAACAATGTTTTGTTTGATTTCACAGAACACCGATGATTGCTGGCGGTTTATTCGTGATGGACAAAGATTATTTCGTAAAACTTGGAACATATGACAAGGAAATGAACATTTGGGGTGGTGAAAATTTGGGTAAGGAGTGGTTTAAAAACTATTAAGTAGGTACTGAAACTATATAATATACCTATAGTTGTACGCGATCAACTCGTATTTATATGATAAACTATTGAAGAACCATATAAATAAAATAAATTATAATGCACGTAATGATGAACAAATAATGTCGATCGTTTTCATTGCGCGCGTATATATACCTATGTTTTTTTTTCATTTGCAGAAATATCGTTCAGGGTGTGGCAATGTGGTGGTAGCTTGGAAATCATCCCTTGCTCGCGAGTGGGGCATGTGTTCCGGAAGAGACATCCTTATACGTTTCCGGGAGGCAGTGGCAATGTTTTCGCCCACAACACTCGTCGAGCAGCTGAAGTATGGATGGACCGTTATAAGCGATACTATTACAATGCCGTGCCACTATCTAGAATCGTTCCATTTGGAAAGTATGCTATTCGCAATTATATAGTACCTAATAATGTGTTCTAAAAATAAGTAAAAGTCGATGACAATAATTTAATGTGTATTGTTGTTGTGATTTTCTAGCATAGCAGATCGATTGGCGTTGAAGAAAAATCTCGGCTGTAAACCGTTTAAATGGTATTTGGATAACGTTTATCCGGAACTTAAATTGCCAGCGACTGTGGACGAATTCGTGGGCAGTATTAGACAGGGCTACATGTGCTTGGATACATTAGAAAACCAAGTTGGAAAAACGGCAGGCATCTTTCCTTGCCACGATTACGGTGGCAATCAAGTATGTACATAATTATACAGTTTACAAAACCATACCTTTGCAAAGAACTGCAGCAGCGTTATTATAATACAAAATATATAATAGTATAAACCAAATTATTATAATTAAAATAATTTTTTTACAGGAATGGACATTTACAGTAGGTGGATCGATTAAACATGATACAATGTGTTTATCTCCGACAGATTATTCATCCATGAGCTTAATAATTATGAAACCCTGCGATTCAACAACCGACGAAGTTAGTATAAAAATTATTTATTTGTTGTTGTAGCATCGTGAATTCTGCGGGGTTGTTCAAATTGAAATATGAAAATATTATTATCCGCGATGCTCGGAGTGTCGAGTTGTAGTTCACGTTAGTTCGAATCAATAGAATGCATACTTATTGTTCCCATATTTATACCAAGTCCGACATATTTTAAACGAGTATATTGCGTTCCTACTTTAAAATATGTACCAGCCTACACGGTTACGCTTAATTTGAGGATTGAAATTGAAAAAATAATGTTGACGCACACTCTTACATCACAGAGAATAAAATCCGATGATGAATTAATAACCAGATAATGATCAGTTTTTAAAACATAAATCTATAGTAAACTTTTAACGTTTTTTTTGAAAATTACGAAGAAATTACAGGGAAAACACATAGTATGGATTTTTAATTATTATTATACATATATACCAGAACTTTACACACGAATTTTCCCAGGTTATAAATTATAAGCTAAATTTACATCCAAACAGTAAAATTATCGAATTGGTACAAAAGTATTTTAGTATAAAATAACACCCCACGTGCTTTCAAAACACCAAATAAATACCGAATTTTTTTCAAAATTATTTCAGGATTTATACTTAATAACCGCGTATTCATGTAACATATTCAACACCTAATACCTATTTATTGCCCTACTTACACGATTATGTTTATCATTGTTTTAGTGGAAATACGACGAAAACACTAAACAGCTAAGGCTTAAAGTCGTTAACCTATGTTTGGACACGCTTGGAGTACACGACATGATAAGTATAAACGTATGCGATAGTCTCAATTCAAATCAGAAATGGGAATACTTGGTTGCAGCAGGAATCGATAATAAAGTTTAAGTCCTACAAAATGGTAACCAATAGACAGAAATACAGAATAATATAATATATGTTTATTGATTTCCGAAATCAAAAGTAAAAACTACTTAAACGAGAATCCAAAGGTCAACTTTTTTTATAGTTTTATACATTACACAGGAAACACATCAAATAAATACCTACAATGATGTTTATGATTATTATGTACCTACACAGCACAATTAAGTTATTACTTATATTGTACTGTGATCAATGTTAAAACAAATTGATTTGAGTTATCTTATTACCTTTATCTAAGATTATATACGTATAGCCATTAGCCGTATATAATATAAAGGTACAGTTAGCACATATTATATTATATAGCCGAAATGTTTAGTTTTAAAGTCATTTTACATTTATCGAAAACTTTAGTATTATTACTTTAATATTATAATAAATCTTTAAGTAGGCGTAAACTTATCTCTTATACAATCCTATATATTATATGAATATTTTGTATTATGTATGATTATTTTTAATTTTAACTTAGAATATATGTCTAAGGTAAAAATATAGTTTTATTTGAAATGTAAATATAATACTATGGTTAATTTTTTTTTGACATTTTTATACAATTTTTTTTTGTGTTATTTTATTTTTAAGCATTATCATTATTATTTTATTTTATATGTAATATAATATGTATCCTTGTAAAATACTTTATAATTGATAAGGCTGTGATTTAAATCTTACCATGATTATTAAATGATATGTACTTACATATACACTATTGTAAATACCTAAATTATTTTTATTTTTTCATTCTATATTCTATTTCAAGTGTCAAGTTTATAATATAATATTTTAGTACCTATCTATTACTGTACAATTAGCCAATCATGGGTTTATTATCTATAGCCTATAGATAATCAAAGACTGCGGTTAATTCAGAACTTATACAATTTTACACGAATGTTATTTTTATTTTTAATTAAACGTTTTAAGTTGATAATATATTATAGATGAGTACCTACCTACATATACATTATACATATAAAATGTAGCTTTGTAATTTTAATTTACGATGAAGGTATCTAACCTAACCTTAAAGTTCCTCACCAATGTCCATAACATAAACAATTTATTTTGTAGTGGTTAGTATATGCATCAACTATTACTATAGCAAACAAATTTTGTCGATGAATAGTCTATGATTCGTGTGATGCAAGACTGCAAACTAATAACGTACCTGCACATTATTATAAAGTAATTAGTCAAAACTATTTTGAAATGATTTCGTGTACAAAATGTACCTACGAACGTATCTTCAAATGTCAAGTATCCTATACTATCACAGTATCACCGTTTAGGCTCTTGTCGATCCGTCTGACAACTGGAAAAATTGATCAACGACAGCCGAAATGTACCTTTAGTTGCCTAACCAAGATTTCACTAAATAAATCAAACAAACCATCGAGAACAATTATATCATTAAAATATCTTAATTATTCGTGATTGGGTATTTATCTAAATTCTTATAGACAGTGACGTACCATTGGGTGGTAACCATCACCTTATCCCCCCGCAAAAAATAAAAATAAAAATTCTGGATACGCCACTGCTATTATAAGTAGGTATCCATTTTCAAAACAGCGATAATATTATTATTTTATGCATACATTTGATTTTGCATACCTACAGCACTATTTTCGTATGAGCTGTAGTAAAATATACAATATACGCACAATACCAATGAGCCATGAATAATAATAATAAAAATATAGGTACAATTTCTAAATATTTTTAGAACTTGATAATAAATAGAAAAACAAACAAAAAGCCCTTGCCAATTCAGGGTCGGCTTTGTTGATTTTTAATTTTTGGATGATTATTAAGATTTACTATTCATAATATATTATGCATATATTTTATTACAATATGATTAAACTGAATTCTACTTCAGGCAGTCACAAAATGAGAAATTTTCAGAACCGGAACTCATTTTTTTTCGAGTACAGAAAATTATAACCATTTTTTAACACTTCAGTTGTAACTTGTAGGTACTATGAAACTATTCTCATGGAATTCATCTCGTACTGTGCAGTGTGCGTAATCTCGGATATATCTCATCATACATTATTTTAAATATGGAAGGCAACTTATTAGGTGCCTCATTATTACTGAGTTACATTTTTATAATTATCCTATTTACCACGAACACTCTTGAAGTACTTATTCAAAATTTAGATTTTTTTTCATTCCAATTACCAAACCCACTTGATCAAGAAATTGATAACAAAATAAATAGAACGATATCTAGAAGTCTGTTGGTCCAAACCAGTATAAAATTATTCCACACTATCCTGCTATTGTTTCCACACCGCTGGATAATGAACCGCGTCAATATGGAGCAAAATGCAAATATCCCGGTGCTTTTTTCCCCACCTGTTGGCTGTATGAGTGAGCGAAATTCTAGTATTATGCAACTAACCACGGTAGCAGTCAATCTGTTCATCGGTATAGTATTATTATAATTTTTTTTACGCAGTAGGTACAACATACACGATTAGGAGCATAGCTTATGCAATCAAATATTATGCTGTAAAATATAAGCCGTATTGCCGTCTGTCGTGTCGAAAAGTTGAGCTCGGCCCTTGGAGTGCCTTTTGGTAATAAATTATGCCTATAATACAAAAAACAATAATACAAAAGTGGTTAAGTGAATATCGCTCTGCTGTATAGCAGGTTACGAATGGGTCACTGCGACGGATAGTGTTAAATTTGAATGCAATTATACAAAATCATCATTGTATACGAAAAACGAGTCTGAGCTTCATTTTAAAAATATTTAATTACAATAAATAATTTGTAATTTTTCAATTTGATAAATTTTTTTAAAATTTGAACTTTACATGCTTATGTATTTTTAATATTTTTCAACTTCTAATGTAACAATATATCAGATGCCTTTTATTAAATTTTAACGCTTTTTGACCCAACAAATAGATTTTACTGACATTCATAGAAAAAAATTGAAAATGTCTGTAAACAGATGAAAACTGGTTAAAATATTTTGAACATTTTATTGAGTGTATGAATGAATAAAACAAACATATTTCAAGTATCAACAGTTGTTTGTTTTGAGTTGCAACAAAATAAGAAAATCTCTACGTCATGATAAATTGAGTGAATATCCAATGTTTTAAAAATGTCAACTTCAAACGCTCATAAAAATTTAATTTGATTTTCCAGTAGACATTTTTTTTTTTTTTTGACTAAGATAGACAAATTTATTAGGAATCTTGTATTCAATTTTAAAATCTTTGATTTAAAAAAAAAAAATGTTTATGCATTTCTAACCCAAATGTTCGTGATTTCTACGTACGTTGTCAAAATTCGAACTTTGAATGCTTATAAAAAAAATAATGCCTATGTATTTTTAATATTTTTTTAGTGCTACTGTAACAATATATCGGGAGCCTTGTATTACATTTTCACGCTTTATGACCAAACGAATACAATTTTATTGACATTCATGGAAAAAAACTAAAAAGTTGGATTTCCCAGTGGATCATGGTTGTGAATGATTCAACACAACAATATGATTACAACGGCCGTGACGAAGTAAGTGCATTTTGTTTCGTCATGGCAACGGCCGAACAGAATACAATAAAAGTACACACGACAGACTGTTTAGCTTATTAACCGCGGTTATAATCACGGTAGTTGTTTAGTTCAATACGTTAATAACTTTACTCCACCGTTGTGTCACCCACCACCGACAACCGGAAACCACCTGGCTTTGCAAAATATTATAAATAGGTCCATGATGCACGAACGTGTCGGTGTTGCGTGATCGTTAAAATATCTGATAACACCCACGATAAACAAAAAACGTAGTGATAAAATACTTATTACTTATTATTATTATGTGATTTTCGAAAATCCAATCCTTATCATTTTACTCTGATAGCGCATAACAACTGTATGTCTGTGTTGCTGAATCTCACTCATAATTGTTTCCAATTTATTTTTGAAGTTTGAACTGTTGTACCTGCCCAGTGCCCACGATGGTTCCTAGTCATACTTCGCACTTTCGCAGTTCGCTACGCTGTGTAAATAGTAAATAGTTGTTACGAGTCATGCGAAGCCTGTTGTCCTATTTGTCAACAACATGAACGTAATACTATGTAGCATTATACGTTAATGGCTTCCTGTTAATATGTCAACTGTTTTGCACTATTGACATCTGAATAATGATCGTTTGATAATATCGATAGCACTCAATCGTTATGGTGTATGTTCAAAGTTTTGTTGAAATCGTTCGAACTACCCTACCTGTTCCATGTGATATTAAAACATTTAAAATTTTCTTTTTAGTTTGAACATGAAAGTTACTTGGAACTGGACCGAACTCTGCGGTCCCGACGATTTTGTGCCAATATTTCGCCCAGGGTATGTGTTGAGTATTTGTGGAGAAATGGCAGTCATCCGCCTGCCTATTCTCTTTATATTCTTGTTGACATCAACATATTACTGTGCTCATCTGTCTGATTGGATAATACGTACGAGACGCGAAACCAATATTCTTCGATGCCGTATAATTATTGCCAGTATGCTGTCAATGTTACCAGCAGTTCAATTGATTTGGGAAGTTTACGAATTCTCTGAAAGCCAACTATACCCAATCGAAAATTTAGTTCTAGTAATCCAATGTTTTACATGGTTGGTACATACATTATACATTGTATGTATACGTCATCATTTGGGGACAAGCTTAAGAGGATCAAAAGTTGTAATATTTGCTTGGTTTTTATGTTTTTTGTCATCAATAATGGCCTTACGTAGCACTTTTGTAGTATTTATTGAAAGTACTTATGTACCAATTTTACAAGCAAGATTATGGTTTACATTATTCAATTGGATGCTTCAGGCTTTTTATTTCATTACCATGCTCTTCAAAGAAGACACTGTAAGAATAAGGCATGTAGACAGACTTCGTTTTCTAGCCCAGGTAAATCTTTTGTGGTTACTTAAATTTTATTAATAAATTATTGTATTAGGTGTACCTATATGTTAATATTTTATTTGCTTAAAATTATTTTTATCTTTAAAATATAGTTACATTTTTTTATTATTATTAATTTCTAATAAATGTTGTTATTTTAAAGAAA